TTCTGCTATTATCATAACATAATTTGCATGCCTATCAACATACTGGATACTGGAGACACACAGATACAAATAAATACAATTTAGTTTCAAAGGGATTTGGAAAGTATTAAATAGCACTCATCATTTTACAAATAAGGAAATACAAAGATACAAATAAATATAATTTAGTTGGATACTGGAGACACACAGATACAAATAAATATAATTTAGTTTCAAAGGGATTTGGAAATTATTAAATAACACTCATCATTTTACAAATAAGGAAACTGGCTTCTTGAGGATGAATTCATTAATTCATTCTTTCATTGATTCGACAAATATTTATTAAGACTCCAACAGGAGCCACAGATTTTTCTAGGCACTGAGAATAAACAGGAAACAAACCACTGCTCTCAAAGAGCTTATATTCTACTGACTTAATGTACGCATCAGGAAGAACACAAGTGTATTTTCAAAATATAGATAATTTTAATTGGCATTAGAGATTCCAATAAACATTTGTGATAATGTTTCTCTTATGCCAGAATTTTGTAAAAAAGAAATCTTTTAAATGAATGTAGATGCATTCCATATAATGACTATTTTTTTTCACAAAATGATGATTAAGTTTTAAAGAAAATGGGATTTGAATGAACTTGACAGCTATAGATCTTGTATATAAAATCATACTTGTAAGAATTGGATTTCAGAGATTCACAGTTCATATAAAGAGGAAATATAGGGGTCCCTGGGTGGCTCAGTCGGTTAAGTGTCTTACTCTTGGTTTCGGCTCAGGTCATGATCTCATGGTTGGTGAGTTTGAACCTTGCATTGGACTCTGTGCTGGCGGTGCTCAACCTGCTTGGGATTTTCTGTCCGTCTCTCTCTCTCTCTGCCCCTCCCCACCTCTCTCTCTCTCTCTCTCTCTCCTTCTGCTCCTCCCCACCTCTCTCCCTCTCTCTCAAAATAAATAAACTTAAACATTTTTTAGGAAAGAGGAAATATAGATTTTAATTTGTCTTAAGAAAAAAGATTAAAGCAAAACAAATCACATCAATATTGTCAAAATACTGATATCTCAAAATTAAGAAAAATAAATGTTTGCTGAAACTGACTTGGCCTTTGAAGGTAGTTGTTCTTTTCCCTTTGGAGCAAATGAGACCAAGCATAATATGTATTGACGATCATGAGACTTTCTTGATCGGAGTGACATTCTTATTGGAAGGACAATGTGGAAGAAGGAAAAACGTCCTTTCCTGCATCCTTCTTCATATATGGGCCTATCTGAATTCATTGTGGTTCAATTACTTTCTCAGACCTTCAAGTCTTGGGAAAAATTTCCACTATACTTCTAAATTGTTACTCTTTATACAATCATTAGAATGTGTAAAACTCAGTGTGTAGTTATACCAGAATTATAAATTAATTAAGTAATCATTTGGTTTGTGTCTGTACAGAAAAACCTTTGAAACACTCTTATTCATTTTAAGCCCTTTTCATAGACTTACCATCTCAGAGGAGAATCACACTGTAATTTTAAAAATCCCACTTAGTGATCTCTTTTATTAGTCAAGTAACTTCAAAGAAATTCTTTGCTATGTACCTACTGATCCCCACATCTACGAAATTGAGGAACACACACAGAAATTTAGAAAAAAAAAAAGTTTAAACTTTTATTTTAGAATTGTTAGTCCCAAATTAAAAGTACTAAAATGCAAAATTAAAACAATGATGAATTAAAAGTTTGTTGAAAATATTTAAATTAAGGTTAGGTCTATACAATTGTGGTGTGACTGTGTGCTTCAGTGGATTTGATTAGCTCTGTTTATAAGGTCTGCCTTTTAAGCAACATACTTCCCTAAAACTTCATAAGCATTTGGATATGGAGCAGCAATTAAGGACTGATCAGAAATGAACCCAAATGCAGTTTGAAAACCATTAAGTGTATTGCCATGGTATATCTGAAAAATAACATTTTAGGCTGAAATTTTTTTGTATTTTCCCTAAGTATTAAATCATATTGTGAATGAAGATGAATTTAGTTGGTGACATGTCTTTTGGGGGTGGGGAGAATCAGTGGTAAAGAGAGGTCAAACATTTGATTTTCTAAAAGTTACACATGATGAACTTTTTAGTGTACTAGTAACGTTGACATCAATAGTGTCTCTAATAATATTCCAAAAAAGTAAATTAATTAGGGTTGGCAGATTCAGTCTAACTCTTCACCAATTTTACGAAAATATGGGATTAGTGAACTTGATTGGTAGATCCTTAATAGCACTGCTGACACTTCTGCTACTGCTGTTAAAGAGGATGGTGAAGGCTGCTCTTTATTGGAACTTAAAACACCGGTAGGAGAGTATCTTATTTATATGTGTGATTCATAAGTTCTTTAATGTAGAAGGACTTTAATTTGGATTACCGGAATTTCTCCCCCTCTACTCCTATGTGAAGGAATCTAAAAATATACACAATCTGGAAGCCTGTAATTGTCACTGCACCCTTTGAATAACTGACACCATATGGGCAGTGCTGATTAACATTAAAGTAAATAACCACTGTACCATTCAATGTCAATGTCCTCCTACCAATAATGTGTTGCCTAGTCAACAAACATTGAGTAGAAGGATCACCTACTAGAAGTGTTTTTATTTCGGGGCCTAGAATAAAGGGCACAGGTGCTAAGTTAAATGAAAATCGACTTTAAAGAACAATGTGAAGCTGAGTGGCTAATTGATATAAAGATTCAGTGAGTAATATTTGAATCCACTTCACAGATATCTATTGATATTGGGAGTTTATCTGTGGCTTAAAGTATTTTATTTCTAGTTGTTGCATAGATTTACAAAAGGAAAATGTAAAGAAATCTTGTGCATCTTTAGATCTCATATACAACCTAACAGAATGTTTTCTTTAGTGGTAGCCACTCAAAATATATTCATATGTCAAAGAAAATATTGCACCTGAATAGTATATATTTTCCCTTAACAGGAGAAAATATCCATGTAATTGTTTTAGACTAATTTTTCCCCAATTTTTCTTTCTAAGGGAAAGGCCAAAAGGAATGGGAACTATGACTACCTCTTGTGTGCTTAGGAGACGCTCAAAACCCTTTCTGTAATTCATATATTGTGATTTACCTTAAGTTTATATGGTTGTGTATTTAGAAAGATTTATAAGCTAGTAATTGTTTTCCAGCTGCACAACTTTTCCTCATTTCTAGTCAATCTGAGAACCAGGGGACCACCCCTTGGTGTATGATCACAAACAGATGATCGCAGCATCAACAGTTAAATGGCCAAATTATAGGTCTTTAAATACTATAATTTCTTCCACTATACCCCCTTCTCTGCCTTTATCTTTCCCATGTCTATCGCTAAAGACGTGTCAGGAGAGTTTATCCAGTATCACCACAGAGGACTTTTAAGGTCACACTATTTTGGGTCTTTACCTCATGCTTAGCAACCACACACGTGACACGCATATACACCATGTTCACCCAGTTTCCTTCCGCTAATACTTGTTTGATACACTCGTCGGAATTTAACACCTACTGAACACGTGAAAAAGACTGTTGTTTGTATGTGCACAAAATGTCGCAGCGTCCAGCATGGGGACAGCACCAACCGTGTGTCATACCGCCATACCGCTCCAGGGTCCAAGTAGCAGCATCTCTCAGGTTCTGCCCACCGCAGGCAGAAAAGCAGCCTCTCTCGGTTCCTGTTGCCACCATCAGAGAATCTGAAAACCCTGCAGGCAGTGCGTTTAAATACTGGTAGGGAAAAGCTAAAGCACATCTATCCCCATCTCCTTTTCCTCTCCCTTTTCTTTGGTCGTGGTGGGTGGGAGATTCACTCAGTGCGCCTTCCTGGCCTCCTTCCCAGCGCGCAGGGCTGCGGGCATCTCACCTGTTGCCCTGGCTGCCCCCAAGCCACGAAGCCCCGTCGCGAGGACAGCATGACGGGAAAGCAAAGGGAAAGAAACACGACCTACACAAGAGAGGGCAGGCTTCCAGCCCGTTGCCGAAGATCCCGAAAGCAGCGTTTGCTGGTCTCCCAAAGCAACAAGTGACCGTCACCGGGGACTCTCGAAACCACGCGGCCCGCAAGTCTGGAGTCCGTGTCGCTCGTGTGAACGGACGACGGGCTGCACTAACCAGACACTGCGCAGGTGGTTAAACCCTCTCCGCAAGAGGGACCAAACACGAGTTCCGACACGGTTTACCCCACCCTCCGAGAAAAACCTGCCACCCGAGGCTTCTTTCCACGTCCAGATTTCTGAGGGTCGCGGTCCTTCTCCTTCCCACCCCATTTCTTCCCAAGTTTCCTAAACGGAGAGAGAGGATGCCTGTGCGTTGGGGTGTGTCTGTCTGAGCGCATGTGTGCAGCAAGGATTTAGGATCTTTTCTCTCTTTCCACTTTATATGTGGCCGGAGCCTTAGTTGTCGACTCAAAAAAAAAAAAGAAAGAAAGAAAAATAATAATAATCCCTGTTTCGCCAACGTTGTCAGGAAACCCTCCAAAATCACATTTAATGAGGAGCTTGGACACTATCAAAAGCTCGACAGGTCGCAGGCGCGAGTTACCCCACCCGGGAACCTTGCTGCGCCCCGAGGCCAAGGCGACCCTAACTGCAAGGCTGTTTTCGCGTCCGAGCAGGGACTCCGCGGCGGGGCCCCTTCCCCAAGCTCGCGACCCGCGACGCGCCAGACGGGAGACGGGAGAGGGCAGCTCGAGCCCGCGGCGCCGCCGCCCGCGCTCGCCTCGCCACCCCGGAGGGGAGCCCGCAGGCGTGGGAGAGCGGCGGCGACGGGGTGCGCGAGCCGGGGAGCGCGCCGGGGCCGCGGAAGAAGCCGGGCAGGTGGAGTGGGGCGGGCAGAACGCGAGGGGCCCACGCGGCAAGCGTCCAGGAGCTGCGAGGGGAGAAGGAGCAAGGTAGGAAGGCGCGGCGTCCCACGGGCGCCCTGGCGCCGCGCGGGGTCCCGGCCGAGCGCGCGGGCGCGAGACCCCCTCCCCGGTTACCTGTGCTGCTTGCGCCCTGGCCGCCGCGGTCCGGGGGGAAGATGCCCGAGCACTTCTCCCACTCCACCTGGCCCGCGAAGCACAGCTCGGTGACGATGTGCAGCGCCTTCTGGCACAGGCTGCTCACTCCGTCTTCCTTGTGGAAACTCATCGTCTGGCCTCTTTCGCCCCCGGCAGCCGCCCTTTCCCTTCGCGTTACCTCGGGGCGGCCCCTCTGGCGCCCTAAGCCATCGCCCGCCGCGGGGGAGGGGGGAACGGGCGGGCGAGCGCGCCGCTCGGAGGCGACCACTCTTAGGAGCCGCAGGTTGGCCCCATGGCGCGAGCGGAGGGCGCGGGGACGCGGGGAGGCCGGGGCTGGAGCCCGCGCGACGCGGCGGCGGCGGCTGGGTTTGCGCCGGGTGTCCTGCGGCGGGCGCCAGCCAGACGCGGCGCGCTGCAGACGGGGACCCGGCATGGAGCGCGGGGAGGGAGGGGCGGGGTGGGGGAGACGTAAAAAAGCCAAAGCCCTCGACTCGCTAGAACTCTCCCCCCCCAGCGCTTTAGTGTTTTGGCCGGTGGCTGGCGGCTGCGCATCCAATCGCAGCCCGGCGCGCGCTCGGGCGACCCGTGGAGGCGCCCGCGGCGCCCCCCCCCCCGCGCGCAGTCGGGGGTCCGCGGGGGCCCGAGGAGGGGCGCGGCCCCGCGGCCCTGCCCGGACCCCGGTTTAGGCTGGAGGTGCACGATGCAACGGGGCGAGGGATAGAGAAGTCTCGGTTTTTATCCGTCCGCCCCCGCCCGCACCTCAGTCTCCTGACCAACTTGACTCCATGTGTGCAGCTCTCGGTGCTCCATCTGGTTTCACTTTTCTGAAAAGTCGTTACAACTGAAGACAAACTTAAAAAAAGTTACATTTGAAAAATGAATAAGTGAATAATCAAGCCAGACGTCTATAAAGAAAAGGAAGTATGCCTGGAAAGCATGTTTAAAATGATCTCTAATGATGATGGTTTAGATACGAAATTTAATTCGAGCGTTCTTTTTATTGCTGTTACTGAAATTCACCGTGAGATGCATTTCCTATCTACCCAATTCGGTTTTTCTTTATGCATAAATACTATGAATAGGCAGATTTCAATTTACTGCCTTTGATTTTTTTTTTCTAATTCTCTTAGGTATTTCACAAAACGAAATGTTATTTTATTAATATTCACTGTCGATGAATTCATAATTGGCAATCGAGAATTCACAACTTCTTTATCGCTTCTGCACTGAAATCCTGAAAACAACAAGACGTGGATTTAAAAGGGGAGAGGGGTTAAGTTCAAATCTGTCACACACACCTGTGCTTAACCTTGAAGAAATTGCTTTCAGATCCGTCTTTCAATCTGTAAAATGAAAGCTTGCGGCTCTTCTGTTGTAACCCTTCTCTAACGCAAACGGGTGAAAATCACTCACGGAGCTACAACTACAAAATAGTGTTAATAAGTATGTGCCACAAGTTATAGTAAATGGGTTTACATTTACTATAAATGGGTTTCATTGTTTTGAGGCAGAGTTGATTTCAGATATAACCTGAAGATTGATTTAACCTTTATCAGGTGAGGATTCTTTATTTTTGAAGTGGAATATCCTGACCTTGTTACCATATTTATACTTCAGAATAAGTAATCTTACTTTAAACTACTAGACAGTTTATGGTAAATCATTTCCTGCGTAAGGACACTACGGTGAATTTACTATAAATACTAGGCGTAGAATCCCAGTAGATAAGCATTCATTAGTTGAATCATTCTGACCTGATTCATAGGACAATTGGTATAGCTAGCAGTATTTTTATCATGAATCAAGACAAACTAAAATCTGAAGGTCTCATTTGCTTTTTGTTTTTATGCACATTGATTTGGATGGTTTTCAGATAAGACTGACTATTTCAAAATAATTTCACTGTCAAAAAATATTGAATATCTACCGTATGATTGAAGCAATGTAAACACACTTTAATAAGGCTCCTTTCAGTTGTCCTTGCCTCTCAGCCCTCCACAGTCTAGACAGACTCCTATAAAACTACCTGCAATGCACTGCTGTGTGTTCATATTTACTGTATGAACAAACTGTTATGTGGGAGTCCAAATGAGTAATTTAGCTCTATAGTACTCACACACTCTAATAGTGTGAGTGGAGTAAAGCAGATCTCTCTCATGACCCTCTTCTGTTTGATTTCAGTGCTCAATATTATTAGGTAAACAAACTCTGAAAAGAACTTTCCCTGTATTTGTTTATCCTGTTCCTGGCCTGTTGGTACTCTTCACGGTATTTCCACAACAGGCAGAGTGAAGTTCGCCATGTGTTCATTTTTCTCAATTTATTTGTCTGAAATATCTTTGCTTTCATCTAAATATCCTAAGGTTTTGCTTTTTTTCTTTGATCTTTAGACCATCTGAGACAGCTCATTAGCAGATGAATCAAACCAGTTTTTTTCTTGTCACTTATTAACAGCTCCCTTAAGAAGTGTGGGGAATGTAGACACTGCATTCAAGGTCATTATTTTCAATGCTGAAGGATAAGATGACAAGAATTTCAATTCACAATCTTTAAAAACTTTTTGCCAACTATTTCAACCGACAAGAGCTTACCCATCACGTAAACCAAGCAATACAGATTTGTATTTAGTTCCTCACCCATACTCTGAGGGAGTTGCTGAACAGTAAAGGAGGGGAGAGCAAGTTAGATTGATTTTACGAAGCACCAGTTGCTATACTAAGCGATATATAGGCATTGGTACTCAAAAAATACAGGCAGGTCTCTGATACAGCTTCCTTCTGAAGGATCACTGCATTAAGACAAGGAGGAATTGGTGTAGAGGTGAACAGGAACGCTCGGGGCTTAAGCCATCCTCTTTCAGGGGTAATTCTGGAGGGTCAATACTGTGATTTATCAGCTTGTTCAAGCCTCTTCCATTTCTTTCTTTTCTCCTTTCCCATGGCTTTCAAAATCTGGAGGGGAGGGAGTTATCTTCTCAGGTAGAGATCTCCCTAAGTAAGGAGAATCTAGGGGGCGCCTGAGTGGCTCAGTTAAGTGTCAGACTTTCAAGCATCAGTTAAGCGTCAGACAGTTCTTGAGTTCAAGCTCCATGTCAGGCTCTGTGCTGACAGCTCAGAGCCTGGAGCCTGCTTCAGATTCTGTGTCTCCCTCTCTCTCTGCCCCTTCCCCATTTGTTCTCTGTCTCTCAGAAATAAATAAACATTAAAAATATTTTTAAGTGAGGGGAATCTGGTAATCATTCCTGCAACTAGAATTTCAAATATTACTTGACCCCCATGAAAGGCACTAAGAAGGTGGATAAATGAGGAAAAGTCAGAACAGCTGAGCCCAGTCTGAATGAAGATCAGAGACAATTATGAAATTGTAACTTACCTAAAGCTCTCCTACCTTACTTTTTTCTGTGTTCTACAACTCCCATCATATGAGCCCAATTCTCATCGCCTGTACATCGTTGGGCTCCTATATTCCTTAAGTTGAAGAGAGGCATCACAACTCACTCCCAACTGGAAATATGACCCCAAGATTCTGCTTTGCATGGATGGGTATTGCTACTGAGAAGTCTATTTCTATTCTGACTCCAGATCCTTTGATCAGCCTGGTTCATCTCTCCGGAAGGTTTGGTGCCTTCTCTCTTTCCGCTGTGTGCACTTTGTTCATTCATCCTGATGGATACTCAGTGAGCACTTCAAACAGACTCAGTTTTGAATCCTTCAATTTTGAGAAATTCTATTGATTTATTTCTTCTATAATTCTCTTGCTTCTGTTTTTCTGTGTAGTCCCTCTCTGGAACTCTTTTTTGTTGAATTTTTGGTCACCAAGATTGAATCTCTAATTTTCCTTTCTCTTCAATACTCCATCTCTACTGCCCCCTACTTCTTGTGCTCTAACATTTTTAGGAGATTTCCTGGACTTTCTCTTCTGAGCCTTCTGTCAAATCACATTTTCAACTGTTGTAGTTTAAAGATATGCATACTTTTTTGCTTATTAATTATTCTTGTTTCTTATTTCATGCATACTATAATCTATGCTTATTTATCTGACCATATTAATTATATATATTTTAACTCTCCCACCCCTGCTTCTGTTTTGTGTCTTTTTTCTCCAAATAACTTGTTGTTGTTGTTTTTCATGTCTTAAGATTTTCTTAGATGTTTGCTTATCTGAATAATTACATTTAAATACTCACCAATAAGATATGGAGTTGAAGCTCCTGGTATAATTAGTAAGGCTTCAAAACAGAGTTTTCACTGCTGGGTGATTCAAGGTATTTTGAACTGGAGCACCCCCAAATATCAGAGAGGGACTATCTAATCTTTTACTAGGGGTGCAGGACAATAGTTAAAGTCTACATGCTTTTATTTTCCAATCTGGGGCCTCTCAGGGTTCTGCCCTCTTATAGTTCTGGGGCCTGAGGTCTGGAGACTTTCCTATCTCTAGGGAAAAACTATTTGCCAGTTTGGGGAAGAGTAATCACCTGACCACAAGAGCTGTGTGGATGGAGACTTGAGCCTTGAGACACTTAAGAGTGACACTCCTAGGGTATCTGGGTTGCTCGGTTAATTAAACATCTGACTTCGGCTTAGGTCATGATCTCACAGTTCGTGGGTTTGAGCCTGACATCAGATTCTGTGCTGACAGCTCGGAACCTGGAGCCTGCTTCAGGTTGTGTGTCTCCCTCTCTCTTTTTCTCTGCCCCTCCATGCTTATTCTCTCTCTTTCTCTCTCAAACTCAAATACATTTAAAAAAAAAAAAAAGAGTGACACTCGCTCTTTTTTTGGCTTTCAATCTTAATGCCATCTTCTTTGGAATCAGTACAACATGACTCCATTTCTGAGTTCTTCTGAGGTGAGGCTCCAGCTACTCCTTGCTCTCTGTCTCTGGATGTTTCAGCTTCCTCTGCTCAGTAAGGCCGTTACTACTCCTTCACCGCTTCCATCTGGTGAACCCTTTACATCTTCTGCCCTTGCATCATCTCCTGTGTCCTTTCTTATTCCTTCTGTCCTTTTGCACTTATAGCTTTTTATTCCAATATTATCATTTCAGTGTCTTTTCAGGAGTGGCAGGAACACATCTATTTAAAGATTGTTTTACATGTTTATTTTTAATTTTGAGTGAGAGAGAGAGAGAGA